AATGTTGCAAAATTGTTTGGCTACTCTCTTGGATGATCTCTCCTTTTGTTTTCAGTTAAAGTTGGATGTGGAACCATATGAGCATGAAAATCTGTTCATTCCCTCATTCACTGAAATGGCAACATGAAGTAGCACAGATTTGCCAAACGCTCATGGACGAAGGAAATGCGAGAAATTTGCAAGGGGTAAGAGCAGTCTCTATACCATTCACAGCAGCTTGATGCAATACTGTTAACAACCATTCATTGTTAGGAGTCAGAGTTGAGTCCCATTACTATGATTCCATGTTAAAAAAGTATTAAAAAACTAAATTACTATTAAATAGTAATAGAATAATCTCTACTGAATTCATTTATTTAAATGTCCCTTGAGTTGAACCCAAAATGTTAAAACTCAGAAAGAAATATTACATCGTATAATATAAAATTTCAAAATTCGAGAAAACGGTCCATGACTCGAGCCCATCTCAGAATCAAATATATCCATCCGTATCTCTCATCCCCAAGGCCTGAATCTACGACTAATAATATTATTTCCAGTTCTAATAATAAGACTTTATTTGTAGTTTCCAAACGAGGTCTTATAATTAAAACAGGAGGTAGTATAATATAAATTGGTGGCATTTTCCTTCTCACCAGTATTTGTATTGATATTTACCTTTTCGGAGTCCACATTGGGTGTCGAATGGATCATCCTTTTTCTTTTTAAATATTTGAGTTGCCCTGTGAGAATTTATCTCTATCCTCACGGGGTGCACTGCCCCTCCTTCCTTTTCTCTTGGCATGCTCTTAGGCTAGTTATTCTTTGTTTTAAAATATTTTTATGGTTTAAAATAAGAGTAAATTTGTAAGTTTGTCCTTAATTTTATTTCTCATGTGTTAATTTATTTTTTTATTATTTTAGTGATATAATTTTACTCATTATCCTTTCTTCATGCAATTTTACTCCAATCCTTTTAGTGGTGCAATTATATCTAAAAAAAGTATGAGTAAAATTGTACCACTAAAAATATCGAAGATAAAATTGCACCTGAAAAATAAGATCAAGGGTAAAATTATATTTTTACCCTTAAAAAATTAAAATTTTTAATTGATATATTTATGAAGAATTATGGGCAATCAAACTATATTGAGATTTTTTGTGAAATATTGTAGAAGGCCTAGTTTGTAATTTACATATTATATGATTTTTTTTAAAAATGACTGTAATGTTTTTTTTTTTTTGAAATTCTTTCAATTATTTCAAATATTGATTCATTCGTCTTAAAACAACTTGCTTATAGTTCATTGACTCAAAAACTATAGGAATTGAACTGGTTCGCATTAAAAAAAAATATTAAGGCTTGATATATTCCGAGTCAACAAACCACATAGACTGAGTTATTTTCGAATTGTTGAGTAATAACAAAACTAGGATAGGATTATTTCAGATTCACCTTGCATAGTTGAGCGTTTTGCCTATATTCCATGAACTTGTAATAGGCTTTAATTGTTATTACACGATGAATCAATTAAAGTTCAAAGACAAACTAAAGCATATCAGCCTAGAACTCACGGATTGGCAGTGAAGTGCAATAAACCTGATCAATGGATGCGGACAATTTTACCACTGCTTAATTGAGATGCAACCATAAATAACACGAGCCAAATTAAGAGAATAACCCGCATTATAAAACAAGAGGCATCCTGGAAATAAGGCTTAGGTCAAACCAAGATCATCTCCCCAAGATGAAAAGGAGAAAGATTACCCAAACTAACTTCTGGTAAACATTAAAACAAAGAGGAATTCTTGCGTGCTCCGAGAGCACCAAATCATTTATACTCTAACCAATCAAAATACACCATATCAACAAGTCTAATCTGACGTGTTATCTTATCTGTCCTTTTTTAAGAAAAACCTACGCCCATCTTCTTCCATCGCTTCTCTCTCCTTAATTGTAACCCTTCTCTTCATCTTTTTTCTCTAAATTTCTCTTTCTTTTACTTTTTCCTCTTTGCTGCGTTTTTCTGCTTGTATTTCTTCATCTCCCTCACTCTTTATTCATCCTCTATCATCTTGCCTCCCTCCCCTACCTCTGCGTCACCTGCATTTCACCCTCCAACTCCTCCCACCGTCACTCCCCCGGCCCTATCTCCTCCGATCCTCCTTTTCCCTCTTTCAAGTTCTTGAATCTGATTGTTCCTATTTCAGATCTAAAATCATGAGGGAAAAATTTATCTTCTCTACATTCTGAAATTTATGTGTGGTTTGCTATTTTTATTTTCTGCTGGGCGAAAGAAGGAAAGGAAAGATGAAAGAAGGCCGCTCTGCATCTGGTGGGTAGGGATGGAGTCGAAGGAAAAAAGTTAAGAAGGACAGAGGATTTGAAAAAAGGACGAAGAGAAAAAGATGACGGAGGAGGAGAGAGAAGCGGGTGAAAAAAAATGGAAACTAATCCTTTAAAAAATGACAAATAAGCTTGCATGTCAGATTAAATTTATTAATGTGGCATATTTTGATTAGTCAGAGTATAAATGATTTGGTGCTCTGGGAGCACGCAAGAATTTCTCTAAAACAAATATCACATTTTTTAGATTTTGCAGCATACAATCGTTTGAAAGCATAAGAGGTTAAACATGCCAGTCTTGTGCTTCTCAGTACATATTATTATGAGCAACAAGGAAACATCTGGACCAAACATAACAAGTCTTGTACTTTTGACACCGACGTTAATGTCTTTACCACCAACTCGCACAAGTTTCCAACATTCTTGTGACAAATTAGCTCAAATGCTTCAGCTTGAGGGAGCAATCATGGCCAAGTCCTTTTTTTTCACCGTTGCAATGCTTTACATCCTTGAAAATTCTATAGTCAGAAAAATTTTGGCTGTTGAGTCTTCACATCCCACAGAAAACTTAGAATGAAGAAATTGCTTCTTCTCTCCATGATTCGATAGCCGTTCAGAATTTTTCAACGGACTGAGAAAGGAAACCTGCAAATGGAAGTTGTTACATTTTCCAAAGAAGCAAATTCCGTATAATAATTTCAGCATCATCACAGCATTGCAGTAGGGATTATCACTTCGATGGTTAATATTTTTAATTTGTAAAGCACTAAAATTGGATGATAATTACTTGAATCTCCACTATGTTCGAGGCTTCCAATGTGTAAAACTCTTATAAGATAAATTGTGTGAATCTCACACAGGCTGCAGTTGTCAATCTCATGGGTTTGCATGCATATTGTCAAAGAGAATATTGTATGCTACAGTGATTCGGCCTGGGTCAATAGCGGTCAAAAGATCAAAGGTGGACATTTTAATCATTTCTTTTGTTTTTCTGAACACATAACCGAAAGACATTTTTAAACACGTTTTTTAACATTTCAAAACAAAAATCTATTTTGAAAATAAAAGAGCAAGCAGGGCATAAATGTAATATATACCCCCAAGAATCAGATATTAGACGTCAATAAGAAGAAAACGTTGTCTTTTTCGAATACTCACCGGTTTGCCAATAACGTTGGTGGACTTTGACAAACTCCCACTTCTCATGGCAAGGCCTTCAAAAATCAAAGCATAATGCATTAAGAAGATATCAGACAGTTTAGCTACTTAAGTGATTGACGCCTATTATCATATAATTAAATTTGAAATCCCATCAGATGTACAATATTCCAAAAGGACATCTCAAAAATCGAAAAGAGACAAGCATCACATTACTTGGAGCACTTCTATTCATTCAAATCCCGCTCCCAACTAGTGGGAGGACTCTTCATATTTAAATGGCCTCGTAATATAGAATCTATATGGAGGGGAAGACAAGAGAAGAAACTCTACACACACCAGTCTAGTGGTAACAATGTCTGGAAACATTTCCATGCTTCAGTAGGTGATAAACCATAAACTCCAACTTGAGGCGGAGGCTTACATTCAATTAAAGCCTTCACCCAACCAATGGAAGTCTTCTCTAGAACCTGCTCAAGGGTAATTTTTGGAAAAGGAAAGTTGTATTTAAAGGTTGTTAAATTTTTCAAAGAAGCAACTTGTCGTATAATATTTTCAGCATCGTCACACCATCGCCATGGGTCTTTCACTTCAATGGTCAATTCTTCTAATTTGCAAAGCTTTGAAATTTCATCGTAGTTACCCCTTGCAATATAATGTATGAGCTTCTCAGGCACCGCAAACTTTCCAAGCACGGCACAAAATTTGCTCCAGTACCTCGAATGTCAAGGACCTTAAGATGTCTAAGTAGTTGGATCTCATGTGAACATATTTTTTTCAACTCTGAACACCCATTTATATAGAACACCTTAAGGCTGGTTAATCCTGATAAAGATGGTAACTCCCTTATGTTAGTACGATACAAGTTTAACACAAGAAGATTTTCCCATGCTGCCAAAATAATCAGATGAGATTTGAGCCAACTCCGGATTCTTTTGTAACAGTAGTGTTTGAAGACTCCCATAATTTTGGTTTATTGGCAGTCTGTCCCTTTTACTGCCAACCATAGAAACCCATCTAGCATTCTGCCATGATGCTGATCTAAAGGCCTCATTATGGTCTTCATTATCAACATAAGTTTTACATTCGGAATCTGAAAACTTGGATGATACTCCTCCGGTCCTAAATATAAGACCCTTATACTAGTATGTATAAGGGTCTTACATTTAAGACTGGAGGAGTATATATGAAGCAAGTTGCCTGCAGAGATCATTCATTTTAATATACCTCATTTTTTCCCCTTCCTCTAGGAATGCAGCATTAACAAGTTGTCTCAATGCTACATTAATACCTCGACTGCACGTAGCACTATACTTGGTACTTGCATTAACAACACCGAGAAAGCCCTGAGCTATACAACACTCGACAAAGTAATCTGTGTATATCTTGCTATTTGCAGGATATAGTGAAGCATAAAGGAAGAATTTCTGCTTACTTTGATCACCCAAGAGTTGATAACAAATTTCCAAGATTGAGCATAACTCTTCTAAACCTTCAACTTCAAACTGAGGCCAAGGCGTCCATTCATCCAAAGACCTCTGCCAATCTGGAGGAGACTCTTGATCTGTAAAAGACTTTGCGGTAGGATTTATAAAGAGGGGAAGGCAACAGCAGAACCTCTTACATACCAGTTGAGCGGTTGTTATGTCTGGTAAACAATTGTTACCAACAATACTTCGAAACATCTTCCATGCATCACCGGGGGGTAACGTTTCAATCTTGACTTTCCCGTCAACAAGTTTCGACTTCACAAGAAGAGGATAATGAGTGGTTATTGCTACATTACTAAGTCTTTTGTTGTTTGAAATATCTAACTTTTCCCAAATATCATCTAGTATGCGCTTTGGCCTTATGCCTTCTAAAATTAGCAAATATCTCTTGCTTTCCAGTACTTTCAGTATTCTTCCAGCAACTACATCAGGATTATTACCTTCTTTATCCACCTTTATTCGATCTGCAATTTGCTGTAGAATGTGAAGGTCTTTAGTTTTTTTATCAGACGGATGAAAATCACCATATCAAACAACTTGTCATGGCTATCATGAAAAGTGCTGCATTATTGTTGTTTTCTCCACTCTTCTTTGTCCATGAAGTGCCACGCATTTTACTTCATTATTATCATCTTGTAGCAGAGTCAGATTTCTCGGAAGGCTTTGTGCAGAGTCGGATACTCCGCAATTGATGGAACACCAGTCTCCTTTATGACCTGCTCTGGCAGGTTATGGATGTCAGCAAGCGAAGCGGTGGGTCTTTCAAATATGGACCTTATTCCGCTAAGCGCATGATCCACAAAAGGTTCCAACAGAGTTGCAGTCGCCGGAACAAATATATCAGCCGTTGAGAAACTCCACAGCCTAGGAGAAGTACGGTTCAAGAAATGTTAACAGATAATATTATTAACGAAACAAGTTTGATATAGAATCATTCTTTTAAGTTATGTTGTTAAGAGATCAACAATGCATGTTTTATACTACCTTTGGTCCTAATTATAATACCTTATTTGTAAACTACAAATAAAATCTTATAGTTAAGATCGGAAGTAGTATCACTCTACTCCTGATCACAAGTCACCTTGTTTTTGGGGGGGGGGGTACCCAGGTTATGGATCATAATCACACTTTCTGTCTTATTTTTCCTTTTTGTTTTTCCCCCAAGCAAGTTACTGCTTGAATAATTCGTGTTGGTGCAGTTAATATTAGCAAAACAATATTCCTAATAAGGACTAATATTCATTAGGTCTGATTCCCTCAATCAAACCTCAGCACATGATTTTCTTTAATGATAAAAATTCATATACAGATAAAATTTCAAAATTCTAGCAAGCCATTATTATAGTAAAAACCTACATGGCAATATTCAATTGGGGAATTGAAACTAATAGATATAACATATGAGTAAATAATTTTTTCCTCATTAGTAAAACGCTTCGGTTAACAATGCTTTATTAAAAAATTGTTTGTGCCCGAAATAACTGTAAATGTAATATCGAATAAAATAATAACATTCATATTGTGATTTGTCGCTTGAAATTATTAGACTTGATGGGGGCATAAAAAATCTCAGTGGTCTAACCTGATATTGCTTGGGGACAGCTTGTCTCTAAATCTCAAGATTTGGCCTCTCCAAATGAATCACTGCCTGAGGCCTGTTGGCCTGCTGGCACGTGCGGTGCACTTGTGGCACTAGGAATCTCAAGTTCTGTGAGCTTGCTTATTTCCACAATCACAAGCTGTAGCTGATTTGCTCTTAATAAGTTACACAAAAGTTGATAAAATGACTCAAATTGGGAATGATGGTGATGATACAGGTAATTCTCTATCTACTCCTGTGGTTTTAAATTTAAGACTTTTTGATAGTATAAATTATATTATAAAATAGACCTTATATTTAGGATGGGTTGAGACCCTATTTTGAATTTAAATTTTCTTAATATGAATGTCATGACCTTTTTTAGCATTTCTATTTACCTTGATTGCCTTGTTAAAATCTATCACAGCAGATGTGATGTCGCTACAGGCTTTATTTGAGCACCCAAAGCAAAATGCCGAAAGATTTAGCAGGTGCATTTGCTTAACTGCATTTATGTAACTTTTATTCAGAAGATTAGCAGAAATTGTGATGTAATTTTAGGTGTGTTTGAGATAGCAGTGGCAGAAGTAACCTTTTTTCAATCTCACTTTTACAGAAGTCAGATTGAGTAAAAATCAGATAGTATAATATGATTTATGTTTGGATTGAGTTTTGTAAAAAATTCAATTTAAGAAGCTGAAACTTGTTTGGATAATTAATAGAAAAGTAAGTTTGGATGTAAAATGAGTAAAAGAGATATGAATATTATTAAATAATAATGTGATAGTTTTAAGAAAAATATTAAAATGATAAGGGTAAAGGTATATTTTTAGTCCTAATCTTATTTTTCAGGTGCACCCAACATTTTTATATTTTTAGTGGCGTAATTTTACCCATGGTCTTTTTTTGTATATAATTTTACCTATGAACTTTTTTTAATACAATTTTGCCTGTGATTTTTTTTCAGCATCCGATTTGGTGATCTATTCTTATGATCTTATTTTAAAAGTTATCTATTCTCATGATCTTATTTTCTCTCTCCACGGTGGTGACGTGAAACGGTAAAAGCAATAAATTTTAGCTTTTGAAATACCATGACTTTTGCATCATAAATCCAAACATTAATCTAAGCCTCATCATGCTTTTTTCTCCTTCGACACAGTTCCACCTTTAGAACGCTCTACCGAACACACCCTAATTCTTGTATCACAGATTGACTCTTTCAGTGTCAAGAAAAATATCTGAACCTGAAGATCGTACTTCAGATGATGAGTACAGGTGGAGGAAGTATGGCCAGAAAATAGTGGCTGGATCCAAAATTCCAAGGTAGCACCACTACAATTACTCTAAAAGAAGAGAGAGAATGAATTACTTCAATATTTATGCATCATTTGGCTAATGCTGTGTGCGGTCAGTGCGCAGTTCCCATTACAAATGTACTCATGTAGATTGCCCAGTTAAAAAGAAATTAACACGACGATCTGAGGAAGACCCAACAATGGTTCAAATCGTTTACAAGGGAAAACATACGCACCCCAGTCGCCAGCATAACATATCCCTCCAGGAACTACAGTCCGGTTAAGTCTAACAGTATTTGATCTTAAGTTTACAGATTGTTATTGCTACTATGTCTGCCATAACCTCATTTACTTCCATACCGCTCTGGATGGACAGAGGTCTTATGAATGTGTTTCCACAGATTGCTCTGCTAAAAAACACGTGCAAGTATCAGATGAAGATCCAACAATGGTCGAAATCACTTACACTGGAGTTCACACTTGTTCCAGCCCATTTTGTGAAGACGCTGCCGTGAACGAACCATGTGACTCAGTACTGACTCAGACTTGACAGGAGTTGATCAGATTATGCCGACATCCTCCAAAGGATTTATTTGAAAATTGTGATGTCCTGTCTTGTTTTAAACTCCCGTTAGATATGACTTGTTATGACGTGTGCTGCTACTTAGTTTACTGTACGTCAGAATTTATTTCAGTAAGAAAATGTATTCAGAGACAATAAAAAAAATCCATTCAATTTATTTATTTTGCTGTTGGTAAAGTTTCAATGTCGCATTTCTTCCTCATCATATGTATTTGTACGTGTAGGGAATGAATTCAGCAAACAGTAAGGCGCATATTATCCACAAAACGGAGCTTTGGGTCGCCCCTTAAGCTGGCCTTTTACTAATGCAAGTTCTCAATCTAGCTAGCAGCGAATCCTGATGTTCCTCAACTGGTTTGAAAGAATCTAGTCAGAGGATGATAATTGGATAGGTTAGGAAGTTAAGAAATTGGGTTGATAAATCAATGTAATTATAAGGATGAACGAATTAATTTTTTTTATCTAAAATGTTTCCTAAACGGGGAAAGAGAACCAAAAAAAATGCCAGTCATTTTTATTTTGGGAAAAAACAAAATTAAGAATAATTTTAAAAAGCAGGTAAATGTAAAATATTTACTCAAATAAAATTTTTTTTTCAAAAAACAAAATACTGTTTAAATATGAAAAGATGAAATCCAGCGGTTTGAGACGGAAGAGTGCTGCTGAGTGATCACAATTCACAAGCTCGAGTAGATCATCTAAAGGAACAAGCATCAATGTTGGGTCGACGCCTGAAACAAGGAAGTCCGCCTTCAAAAAGGGAACCTGCAACGAAAACACCTATCAATTACAGATGGGTTTCGACATGGGACCACGTCAGGAGCCCATTGGTAAACATTACTCCATCCCTCTCCTTAACGTAGGAGTTAAGTTAGTATTTATCAAAAAAAAAAAGTGTTAGTTTTTTTAAAATACTCTGTTTATTATTAGGTGGAGTTTGCCAACTCTACACATTATGCAAATCAAAACAAAACTCTTCTCATATATTTACTTTAAACTCCATAAAACCATTTCCAAAAAAAATAACGCGAATATTTGCATTGGAGCGGCTGTTAATGAAACCCCGTACCATGCGCATTCAACAAGAATAGTTTGAAAAAAAAATATTAGAAATTTAAGAAATATAAAGTGAGATGCAGTCTTATGTGTTTGAGTAAAAACAAAATTATAGTTTCAAAAATACTTTTACAATATACGAAGTAAATATTTATAAGAATTTATCTCAATTTGTAAAAAATTCTTTCGGAGTTAGGTAAATACCGCTTTAGAAGTAAATAAGCCTCTTATTTAACTCCTATATTTCCAATATAATGACGCTTCTCTGACAGACTGTCGGCAATGGATTATATATCACGGAAAAATACTTTGGCGAAAAAGGTTTTGCTAAATACTGACGACTTGAAAGGTTCGTTATTGTTTTATGATAACGGGGGGTCAATGAACAAGACAATGGAAGGTGCGTGGAAATTTCCAATTATTGACCAAAAAAATACTCCTCCGGTCCTTAATATAAGAACCATTTAACTAATTTGATTAGATTAAGGAAGTTAGGTATATTAGTTAATTATAAAAAATGTGACACGCTTTTTCTAAAATACCATAATCATTTTTCTTAATACCTCATATTCTTCTTCCACTTGATTATGGTTGAGGGAATATCTATAGGAGTAATTTAGAGAAAATTGATAAATATGATAAATGAGTCTTATATTTAGGACCAAAACCAACTCGATAATTGGCTCCTATATTAAGGACCGGAGGAGTACCATTTTATTTATTTATGAGGAGGTCTTTGCTTGGGCTGAGAGAAGGCTTCATTAGATCGCTTCTTGGTATGTGCCACTATTATCCCATCCTCATCCTTATTGTTTTATTTTTATTTTTATTTACGATCTTCAATTTCAAATTCTTCTTCCTTGGGGCCAAAAGAAGAAATATTAAATACTCATGAATCTGGATTTCCATTAAAAAAAACAACCGTCAAAGGGTCTGGAATCGACATTGCTTTGCTTTAATTTTGAATTTCTATTCTGCCTTTGAGTTCTTTTAAGAGAATTGAGAAGTGGAGAAAGAAGTAAACACGGAAAGATTTTCGCAATAAATGGGGCTTAGAGGGGCTTATCAGGTTGTGGAATTAATAAATGGGTTTTTTAATTGAAATTTTATTACTGAAAATGACCTAAATCATAGTATCTACCTATGTGTATAAAATTTGCAGAGACTGGCACTTCTTACGTATAAAAAATATATCGGGTCCTTCTTACCAATAAAATTTTCGATGCATGAGACCATTTTTTCTTTTTAAAACTATGATTAACTTTAATTTGATTAATACAAATCCCAAGATTAAGGGGTGTTCAAATGAACTTTTTGAAAGTAATTTTATGGGTTCAAAATAAGCACGTGCAAAGAATTTTGTTTCAACTTTCATAAAATCTTTTTTTTTTTTTTTATTTCAAAGGAGGATGCCAAATTCTCCCTAACTCAAATCTTGCACTTCACACACTTCCATTTTGCCATACCTGCCATCTCTTCTAAGGGCACGCCGTCTTATAAGAAACTCTCAGGGATATAAGAGACTAAACAATACTTGCACAAAGGGCAAGATACATTGAAGCTCTTCTCAAATGAATAAGATAATGACATTAGATGGCAGAAATCATTATATGATAAAAGATGTATGAAATCACGAATATAACCATCTTTTATTTTTCTTATAGTTCCTCTCTAATAAAATGCATTTGGAGCGATATATATTTAAAGACCAATATGAGAAATAACCATTGGCGTAAGAACAAAAAATAAGCCGTTTATAACCGTTGGGAACTTTTTCTTACTAGTTAACGCGCTAAGCACACTAACAACCATATTTTGTACTCATCCAGTCCTAAATATAAGACCTATTTTGCAGTGCAAATTGTACTATAAAATGTGTCTTATACTTAAGACCGGAGGAGTATTATTTAACGCCTTAGGCAAATGTTTAAAGGTGAAGGTTAGTGCGTTAAATAGAAACCCAGAAAATATGATCATTATGAAGTCCAAGGTTTCCTTGATGCGTTCAAGCTAGTAGATTCTTCATCGTCATAAGCTCTTCTTGAACTATCTTATCTTTATTTTTATGTTCTTCATCTTGAGTGTAGCAATATGCATGATGATGGATACAGTACAATGCAGAGCCATGCATATAAGATAAGCTTCAATATATATTCAATTCATATGAAAATATCATTTCTAAAAACATAAATTAGATATCAAAAACATTTTAAGACTAAAACTTTAATTTTCTATCATTTGTTATCATAAAAACTTGTATTAAACATGATGGCCAAAAAAAAAAAACTTACAATGTTATGAATCATTATGTCGAACAAACTGATTTCTTATTTGGTTAAAAAACCGATCTTTTTAGAGTTTTAGATGAAGAAAAATAAGGAGGCTGTCCAATGAATTGATAGATTATGTTCAAATTACTTTTTTGGGGATGACATATTTTTCCTGTCATCCTCTTATTCATTATGCAAGAAATATTTTCTCTCTGGAGTTTCCATGGAGGGAAGTGATGAGCAAATGGTTTCTGATGATATCAGAGTACATGCAGTCACCAAAATGAAGCCATCTACAAAACAAGCTTTGGATCCATTTGCTGAACTGGAGGAAATAGAAACAGCGAAAAGATTTGATTTTACCAAAGGAGAAAAAGTGGTGCCATTTCTGAAAGCGGAGCCATTTAGTCTTCCCAAACTAAAGCTGCCAAATCCTCTCAGGATAGAAACAAATGCACATTACTCTTCCAAAGCCAAAACACTTAAGCAGTTTGGTATTCCACTGAGTAGATCAACGTCTAGATTGCCGCTAAAAGTGAGCCGGATAAGAGATTTTATCATGCTACTGTTGAATTATCCCATGAGAATAGCGCACGATAGCAAACTCAAGGCTTGGGTTCCAGAAGTTTCAAGTAGGAGACATTCTCTGGATGATTTGAATCGCCTTCTCAATCAGAAGCCTCTTGAATGCTTCCAAGTCCTTTTACCAATATACATATTGAAGAGCGTGGAAAGTGGTTGGAGTCCCAACTATGCTTATTCCAACGAAACACCAGAAGACATTCTCAATTTATCGGCGAATCTTGCTGTGGATCAATTGGTTCAAACTTTATTGTCTAAGGATGATCATGTACGAAACATTCACCATGTCTTGTTTTCTGCGAGAGATGCAGCTAAAAAAAGACTAGTTAAGGAAAAAATAGAATCAGTCTTGAAAGATAAGGAAATTATGCTTCGCCTTCATGAAACATTCTCCGAAATCTTGCTCATCGACGCCTCAGATTACCAAGGTCCAGCTGCGGAGATCCATGTTCAACAGCAGATAGCTCAACAACTTCATCTTCCACTGATAGAAGGCAATGACGATTTGCTTAAAACAAGCATTGAGAAAGAGATGTCAAGAAAAAAATACTTGGTGCTTTTGGTTGATGGAGAAGCCCAAAAGCCTCTTGATCCTAGGAAAGTGGGTTTTCCTAAAGAACTTGCAGGAGTTGTGGTGTGCATCACCACTAAATCTTCAAAGCAGGCTAATAGTGAATTAACAGTGGCAATGGATCTGAATATGAACACAACGGATCACTTATTGCCATGGGAAGTTTTCTGTGCAAACGTCAAAATTCTGATTTTACCATCATCTAATACTGAGAGAATGGCCATGCGCGGTGCTCATCTTCTTGCCGGTGTCATTGTGGCAAGATCACTAAGGAATGCAAAATATTTTTCACAATGGGAATATGCTCTAGTCAAATTGAGTTTGCTTCATTCTTCCTATGACATTGATATGTTTTGAGGCCAGAGCAGCGTCTTACATAAAGCATTCATAAACTTCATCTGGCATGATTTAAGTAATTAGACACAGAAATATTGTCTTACATCATGTTTATTCGTTTCTAAATTTGGGAAGCCAGAAAATGAGTTAATAAATTATTGGATTTCTTCTCAGATTAGTGGGTGCTGGAGAAGCAAAGCATAATCTAATAGAGCTTGTGGAGTGTTTTGCCTTATTGCAATTAGAGGACACGAAGCCAAGGCACATTCAAATTCCGCAAGACATATATGATATCTTGCAATTATTAAACACTCAGAATCCTTTGTTGATGAAAAAATCTGAGTTAGGGTTGGTTGAACCACCAAAGAGCGAGCTATGGCATAGTGCCATATATATTGACTTGGCATGCAGACAATAAGCTGTATGAGCTACCTTTTTCCCCAAATTGTCATGAACTCAAAGTGTTAAAGTTGCACAACAATGCTGATTTGACAAAAATTCCCCCTCATTTCTTCTTTAAAATGCCTTTGCTTTGCGTCTTGGATTTGTCCTACACTAGCATTAAAAAATTACCAAACTCCTTTTTGAGTTGGAGCAACTTAGGGAACTCCATATGAAATCTTGTGAATGCTTCATGAAACTATCCTCAGAGGTTGGGAAATTGAAGAATCTAGAGAAGATTGATCTTGACAAGACTCAGATTACACATTTGCCAAAAGAGATCTAGGAACTGACCAATCTCCAAAGTTTGACTCTTTCTTTGTATGAGTATCATGGCAAGAAAAGTAAAGAATATACAAGCTCAGCAATTATTCCTTCTGGGATGATTTCAAAGCTTAGAGGCCTAAAACATTTAAGCATTGATGTAAACCCTGATGATGAGAGATGGGAAGAGAATTTACAAGTCATTCTACTAGAACTCTTGGTATTAGGATGCTTGGAAATTATTAGTTTGTACATTCCAGCACCAAAACTTTTAAATCTCATACCTGCTCGCTTTTTTGAGGCTTGATTTTAGATTCATTGTTGGGAGACATATGTCACGGATTAATTCAGGCACACTACCCACAGCTGAAGAAAAATTTAAACAAAGTGAGTGCAGCATAAAGTTTGTGAAAGGTGTTGATGTTCCTTATGAAATAACAAGTGCTGTTAGACATAGCAAAGCTTTGTTTTTAGATTGACACATGACCGTCAAGAATCTCTCAAAATTTGGCATGATGAGTATAGAGAAATTACAAGTGTGTATATTGGCTGAATCTAAGGAGATGCAAACAATTGTTGATGGAAGATGCTCGAGCAGTAAGGATATATTTCCCTGCTTGCTGGTGTTGAGTGTATCATACATGAAGAATCTAAGAAGCATTTGTGAAGGAGAAGTTCATTCCAGTCACAGCTTTGGTATGTTGAAGACCTTAGCATTGCATAATTGTCCCAAGTTAACAACTACTTTCATCTTGGATTTTCTGGGCAACCTTTCACTCTTGAAGGTGCTTGTAGTTAAAGATTGTCCAAAAATAAGTGCTTTAATATCTTGTGGACCCTCCAACTCAGATCAGGTACTTTCCTCCCAAAATTATTAACAATGACACTTCCCCATCTTCCTGAATTGATCAACATTTCCAATGGATTGCACATGGGCCCAAATTTAGGATTCCCCAAAACTTCAACAGCTTTCAAAAATGGAACTGTCAAGTAAAAATTTGAAAGTCATCAAAGGAGAAACCAAGTGGTGGGAGGCATTGACATGGAGTGAAGCAGAATGGGGAATAGTTGGCTGGCCATTTGTTTTTGATTACATATTTTCTCCAATTGATAAACAGGCTGACATTATGGGTCAATTGGAGTTCGACGATGATATTGATGACATTGCAGGTAAATCTATCTGATATTGGATTTTAATTTTATTTTTTGTTTATTGCTACTATGTTGTCATAGCCTTATTTACTTCCTTAAATTTTGGCCCCAAAAAAAAAAATACTTCCTTAAATATGGTGAATTATCAATGACCCACATGACAATTACTTTACTCACTTTGTAAATTGCTATTGAAATAGGGGGGATAGTGGGCAAGCCACTGCATCCTTCTAGTGGCAAGGTATTTGAGGATATGGTGAATTATCAATGACCCACATGACAATTATTTTACTCACTTTGTGAATTGCTATTGAAATAGGGGGGATAGGGGGCAAGCCACTGCATCCTTCTAGTGGCAAGGTCTCCGAGGATATGGGGTCTATCACATCAGGTGAGATAGTGGGTTAACTGCTACAGTCTTCCAGCAGCGAGGCCTCCAAGTATAGAAGGTATATCCATGCATAATTATATACTATCATTTACCTTAGCTCATAGGCTTATAACAAAGTAGTTTTATTTTCTAAAACTATTCTTAAATTACAGCGTCAAGTCAGTTATCCCAACATGGACGAAGCAATCTGAATCTTTTGAAGATGGATATAGCTGGAGGAAATATGGCTAGAAAATGATTCTTGGAGCCGAATTTCCAAGGTACCACCACTTCTTTTAATTCTCCAAGAATCGCAATTTCCGTACCAATTATATATGCCTCTTTTGACTTGCGCTCCTTGTGATCTATGAGCAGAGATTATTTCAGATGCGATCACAGAAATTATCGACATTGCCCAGCTAAAAAACATGTGCAGAGAGATAATGAGGAGCCTTTCCTCTACCATATCACCTATCCTGGTCATCACACTTGCACACGGACCTCCATTGTAGCAAATTCCCCTATGAACAATCAGGTCCACTTAGGGGCTCAATCTGAGGTAGACGATGATGATGATGGTATTTACTATCATTCGGGTAATTCTATGTCTATTTATAATTTTAATATATGTCGATATTTCAGCGTGAGACTATTTTAAAATCAAGCACAAGCGGCGTGGATAAGAGCGGAAATAGGGGTAGGCCCTTCCATAGCATCCAGTAACCATACATGAAGGGGGAATTGGACAGACTTAGCATTTCATAACCTCTTTTTCTTCCTTTAATAAGTGGAATTTATATCCATAGCACTTCGGTTACGCTTTATTCCTTGGCCCGGTGAAAATCTCAAGCTTCCTAGCCTTCTAGTTTGAGGATGCTTGTGGATCGAAAGCAAATTGCAAGCAGAAGCAGCAAGTATATATGCATGACTATATTCCACGTATCTCTTTTTATTTATAAGGCTATACAAAAAATTGTGTATTTGTAAGTTTAACTGTATTTCAACTATCTTTAAAATCACTTACAGGGGAAGCGACACTAGCACACAAGCCCCTTGTTCACCAAAGTCTATTGTACTACCTCCGGTCCTTAATATAAGATCCCAATTCACTTTGTCTCTCATATTTACTCAATTTTTTCTAAGATAATCCTTCTAATAATTATAGTTCTAATTAATATACTTGATTAGTAAAGATATTTTAGGAAAAACAACTCATATTTAGGACAAATAACTAACCCAACTTACTTCCTTAATCTCCTCAAATTAGTCAACTGGCTCTTATAATTAGGACCGGAAGTAGTAATTTACAGTATAAATTGGAGGGGCAAGTCGGCATCCAATTCAGATCTCGGGTCATTTTTTACTATGGAACATTGTATTAAACCTTCAGCGAATGAAACACATGACAACGGTGCAGACACAACTTGAACTGGCTGTTTCTAGTCATCCAGGAATTTACAGTTCCACATCTGACCAATTCGACGACTCTCTTCTTGAGCAGATTGTTTTGCCATGCACTAAGGATTTGTTTGAAGTGATACACCCACATCATCTTCTATGTATTTTTAAATTAGGTCACACTTGTTATATATGATACTTGTTTGAAAAATCAACACTTTGTAAACGTTGCAAAATTGTTTGGCTACTCTCTTGGATGATCTCTCCTTTTGTACGTTTTCAATGAAAGCTGGATGTGGATTGAGCATCATATGAGCATGAAAATCTGTTCATTCCCCCATTCACTGAAATGGCAACACGAAGGAGCACAGATTTGCCAAATGCTCATGGAAGAAGGAAAATGCGAGAAATTTGCAAGGGGTAAGAGAAGTCTCTGTACCATTCACAGCAGCTTGATGCAAGACTGTTAACAACTATATATTGCTAGGAGTCAGTGTTGAGTCCCATTACTATGATTCCATGTTAAAAAAGTACTAAAAAAAAAATTAAATAGTAAGAGAATAATCTCTACTGAGTTCATTTGTTTAAATGGCCCATAAGTACGTTGAACCCAGAATGTTAAAATGTAGAAAGAACTATTACATTGTAGTCATAATATAAAAGTTCAAAATTGGAGAAGACGGTCCATGACTGGAGCCCATCTAAGAATCAAATACATCCATCCGCGTCTCCCGTCCCCAGGGCCGGAATCCACGCCTACATAATATAAATTGGTAATATTTTCCTTCTGACCAATATATGTATTGATATTTACCTTTTCGGACGAGCCCACGTTAGGTGTCGACTGGATCTTCCTTTTTCTTTTTAAATATTTGTGTTGCACTGTCAGCATTTACCTCTCCCCTTACGTGGTGCCCTGCCCCTCCTTCCTTTGTTTTAAATAAGAGTAAATGTGAAATTTTGTCTTTAATTTTATTTCTCATGTGTAATTTTATTCCTCTTTATTTTAGTAGTATAATTTTACCCATGATATTGCATCGTCTTCCGGATATTTTAAACTTTAAGCTTGTGTAGATTTTAATTAAAATCTGATAAATAAATTTCGTAGTTAAACAAATTAAAGAAATATTTATATTAAATTTAGATAAGAAATTTATATAAATTGAAGAAAAAACTTATAGAAAATCTACGTAATTTAACCTAGATAAAAACATGTGGAGCGGGTTCATCATATTCAATAATACGTGTTGCGCATATTTTGTTCATATCGATCGTTTAAATTAAAATTAGATGTTCTCAGTCATATTTTATGTTTTAATGTTCATTTTAAAATTATTTTATTTAAAAAATAATATAAAATCAGAAATATTTTTTTAAAATTTTCATCGTGAAAAATAATAATGACTTTATTCAGAAAATTGAATTGTTCAAAATAAATCGAACATGACTAGTCCGCCAGGGCAGTAAACACGAAAACCCTCCTCAGTCCTTACTAATGAGCACCGACACCAGATATAGTGGAAGCAAACTATCTAAGATGATAGAAGATGCGTGGAGTTTCCACATACTCATAAAGAAAGTCAATGAGTAAGACAACCGAAGATGCGTGGAAATTTTCCCGTACTCATAAGGGAGGTTAATGAATAAAACGATGGAAGATGCTTGGAAATTATCATGTTTATAACTGAGGTTAATGAATAAGACAATAGAAGATGCATAGAAATTATCACGTTTATAATTTAGGTTAATGAATAAGACAATGGAAGATGCATAGAAATTGCCAATAATTGATCTTGCTTCATGTCTTTCTTATAACCTTCAAATGACTAATCTGTGGATACCGAACAATTAGATACGATTAGTTAAAAAATAATAAACATGTTAAAAAAATATTTTTATTTTTAACTATGTCCTCATGATATATGAGAAAATGATGAAAGAAAATATGTAGAGAAATATGATAAGAGAAAATATAGCAAAAATAAAAAAAATTAAGAACAAAATTGAAAATATATATATATATATATATATATATATCTTACTCTGGTCCCTATTATAGGGTATATTTCCAGAAGCTCTTTTTGTTTCCAAATATAAGTCAATAAATAACTCATTAATGACTTTTTTCTCATTTTACCCTCATCATCAATTACTAAGGTTTAGTTTTTTTTTTTTTTAATAAAGCCTTCATAATTGGTGATTTTCGATCTACATTTAAGTAGGGGTAAACTAGGAAAAAATTATTAATTTAGGACCAATTTAATGCTTTAACTTCCAATTTTTGGTATGCGATAATTAGGTAGGAATCCTTATAATAAAGACCAGAGGAAGTAAATGTTAAGACAAACTTAAATTGAAACTTATAAAATAGACCATATTCTTCAGCATATTTGAAGTTTATAAATATGATCGGAAAGAGTATTTATTTACGACAAAGGGACCAATATGCATTGACCTCTTCATTTTCTATGATTCTTTACTCTTCCAACAAAGGTCAGTGCTTGGGCTGAGACAAGGCCTGATCAGATCGCTTCTAGGTATGTACGTACCTCAACTGTCCCATCCTCATCCATATTTTCTAATTTATGAACTTCAATTTCAAATTCATCTTCCTTCAATATTCATGAATTCTCTTTCTTGCAATATTATTCATTGCTCTCCGGGAACTGTCTAGCTAGCAGCTTGGCACTCAACTTTAGTGCAGAGGTTTCTGAATTTGAAGCTATTGAATCTGAATTCCGTATCAGCTTTATTTATAGTTGGAGAAACAACTCACGGTGAGTTGTACAACTTATGCTCTATTGATTAATTGTTTAACTAGCCAACTTTCATATGATTTTGAAATCAAACAGAATGGGAAGCAAGTAATGATTCCTGAGCCCCCCCCCCCCAATCTTTTTCTAGTTTGGAACTATTGAATTTGATCCTAAGCTACTTATTTCTTTTATTAACTGCAATTTCAATGGGACCTGGATTTCCATTTCCTTTTTTGACCATCAAAGAGTCTGGAACTGACACTGCTTGCTTTAATTGTGAATTTTTGTTCTGCTTTTGAGTTCTGTAAGGAGGACGGATAAGTGGAGAAAGAGGGAAACACATAAAGATTTACCGCAAGAGATGGGGCTTGGAGAGGCCCATATCAA